AGATACTCCGGCTCAAGACTCATACCCAGTACCTGCACCGACAAGTTTGGTTCCTTCTGTTCGTTGCTTCGTTTCCTTATGCAAGGATTGTCACTTCAAAACGCCTCAGCCAAAGATATACAGACCCTCGCTTAGGCAAGGCTCTTCCATGCAGACGATACGCCCCTGCTCGACCGGTGCGCAGCTGCTGTGGAGGTAACTTGCCGTCCGCTAGGATTGGGATCTAGGTAGATAGCCAGTCGCGACATTTTCAGCATGGTGATGGTGTCGTCCAATGTTGTGGTCCTTTCCTGGGTTTTGGTCTCTGAGTTGCATATTCTACGGTTCCACGGACAAGCTGCGCTTCTTAACGGTTCCAAACCCGAGAGCACTCTTAATCCAGAAACCTCACTGTAGTTTCTATACGGATCCCTCTCATCCAACCTTCTCTCACAGAGCCCAATGCCCCTTGTTTGAGGAGCATTCCGTAAATTACAGTCTTCATGCCGCGCTCTCCTACCCACAAACATGCATCCAAAGCCACCCCGAATTTGAGGCTTCTGGATCTTCTCTCGAAACGCTTTCTAGCACCTAAGCCTCTGCCACCCCAACTGAAAGGCCGTGTCAATCTGTAATCCTGTGACCTACCCTAACCCGAAGCCCGAAAACAAGTGAGAGACCTCGTCTAGCTGAGTTCCGAGTTGAGGGAGCGTAAACTAAACCTGACCGTTTCAGCTGAGCCCCAAAACCCGCGTTTGCCCTCTTCGCTTGTTGTTCAGGCATTATGTTAAATTTCATCACCCCGGACCCGAACCAGGAAACCATCAAAACACGAAAAGACCCAGGGAACCCTCGAGCCCCAAACCGCGTCACCAGAGAAGAGAAGAACCCGAGAAACAAGCCCTCAGCAACTTCATTGAAGGGCTATAGTCATAAATCTCATACCCCCCTTTCTGGCCGTGTAGAACACCTCATTTGAATATTTGAATCCTCTACAACCCAAAAACCCTGTCAAACTCTAAACCTGGGGGTCTACGTTAACGGGAGGTCAGTATTATTTGGCTGAGGAAGTGCGAGAACCCTCAACACCTAAACCCTAAACCCCAAAAGCCTTAAACTGAAGAAATTGACGAACTGACTGAACCCCCTGCGGTGCGACTTGGTCAGCTGGGCCGGTGGAAAAACACCCAAAAACCTCTCAAAACCCCTAAACCCTAAACCCCTAAACCCTAAACCCCTAAACCCTAAACCCCTAAACCCTAAACTAGGGTGTTCCGTGAGGAGTTGGACCGCGAGGATCCAGAGGTCGGCTCGATGCAGGTAGTTCTCTAAACTACTCGGAGCCCTTCTTTAAAGGGGGTCCTGAAAGGGATCCTTTAAGGGAAGTATAGGGATCTATAGGGTTTAGGGTTTGGGGCTGAGGCTTGGAGGAGTTCTCTAAATTAGGGCCCCTTTTGGGGGTGCTTTTGCTAAGGGTGCCGTACTATATTGGGGACCCAACAAGGCACCCTAATTTGGAGAACTACCCATGCACTAGGGCTCCTGCTTTTTAGGCTTCTAGAACTTCGGGGGTTTCCCTTTTGCCATAAGCTTTTCGAAGGGTTTAGGGTTTAGGGGTAGGGTCAGGGCTCCCTATGGTTCAATAAGCCATTGGGGCTTTTCGGTGGTGTTGTAAGCTTCTATCGGGCATTGTCGCAGTTTTAGGGTTACCTCGAAGAGGGACTCCTCTTCAAGGGATTGAGGGCTTAGGGGGACTTGGCCCACCTAAGCCACAAACAGCGCGGTTTTGCTCACATCTGCCGGCTCGAAGCAGTAGAGCACACAGAATATTTCGATTGCATGGTCTTACAATCGGCAAGTCAAACCCACTTGCCATTGCCCAAAGCACTGCCAAATAACTTCGCAGGTCCATCCCTCAGCAACTTGGCTCCAAGGTTTTTAGTAAATCCGAACCCTCGAAGCCCTGAGTTGAAACTCGACACCCACAAACTATTGACGATGGAACCCCCAAACCCTCAGGGAATCTAGAACCTCTCCGCGCAAGACAAGCAAACAAGAGTTTTTAGCTAGGTGGCACTTTGGGAAACTTCAAAATTTCCCTTATGGTCTCTTTAGAGGTACCTATTCATAAATACTTTTCAGGGCTTATAAAACTATAACCCAGTTAGGGAAACAAAAGAAACCTAAGCAAGCCCTCAAGCGTAATCTTGGGCTCTAGGGCATCTGCTTCCCTGCAGGTCTTGGCCATGGCAAAAGAAGATGCCGAGCCTTTGGCTCATTAGATATGCTGTCGCCTGAATGATTACGCATAGTATTCCTTAGGTGTCCTGATTATATCCCATGCTTCCAAGGAGCCCAAGACCCCTCAAGGACCCAATAATAAGGTCCCTGGAAGCATAGGGATAGATATACTATAAAACTGAACCTTAAACCTTAAACCCTAAACCTAAACCCAGGAACCTCGCCTAGGCAAGTCCGAGAGTGAGTGCTGAAACCTAAACCGCCTAAACCATAAACCCTGAACCCCAAACGGAATCACTAGGTTTAGGCTCCCGGGTTGAAGTTCTGCGTCTAGGGTTTCGGGTTTAGGATGACCATTTCGCTTGCTAGTCAGTTTCAGTTTCGACGCAAATTAGGGTTTAGTATTTAGGGTTTAGCCATATCACGCAACACCCCAGAACCCTGCAGGATATACGGAAAATGCTTTGTGCGCGAGCTTTTGGATTAGAGGCGGGGGTTCAGCAATCAAGGCTTGGGTAAGGTTAGGTTGTAGGAAATCGGACAGCTCAGACGCGCTTGAACATGCCTGGTTTGGAATCATTGGTTTTGGTCCATTTCCAACGCGCTCAGGAGCGCGCCGCTGCCAATGCAGATGAAGTTGAAACTTGTCCTGGCTTGAGGGTTCAGTCTGGATTGCCTGTATATTGTGATGGGATTCATTTGCTACCTGGGTGCTGTTGTGGGGAATGTCAGAAAAGCAGTGACAGCCAGCTGATAGTTATCAACTTTTCCCGGGAGCCTTCTGAATTAGATTCTAAGTTTTATCAGTAACCCTGATTCAGACCTCAGTGCTCGTAGCATGATCTTGGCTACACAACAGCATTAGTGTTTTGAGGTCCAATGACGGCCGCAAAGGACCAATCTCAAGGCCTTAACATAGGTGTTCTGACGTTTTGAGGTATCCCTGAAGAGGACGGTTTCAGGTTCAGGGCTTGCATCGTAGGCCAAGAGGATTCATACAGACCCCCCAGGAACTAGTGTTGGTACCATATCTGCCATAGGAATGCGCGGCATATGTATAGCACATACATCCCCACAGCCATGTCCATCACTTTAAGCATTTAAGGCCCCTACGCAAGGCAGATCGGGGGTTGACCTGTTCGCGTCTAGTCGATGTCTCGGTATACAGGGCCCTTAAATTCCTTCCCACAGCATTAGTGGTATATATGTCTCAACGCCGAAGATATGAGCCAAAGAGCTGCCAACGCTGTTCTGGGGCTGCTTATTAGAACCATAGGTTTCATGGACCCCAGAACCCTATTCTAATTACCAAGACTCCTGTATTAGACCCGGTTCATCCCTAAACCCTGAGCCCTGAATAATTTTATCTGAGGACTGCGTCGAGGCATTCGTGCTCGATGACGATTTCGATTACGACAACTGAGCCTTTGCATGATTGACATGCAAAATCTTGGCAGTCTTTCCGGTCTGGGCATGTGGCTTAGGGTCTAATGGCGGGTCGTGTCGGATTGTTGCCAGTGTCACCCGGCGGAAGCTCTTCATTGTTACATGTTCATACGAGTGCTTACAAGCCCATTTGTTTCTGAGGTCCCCATGTGGGTAGTTCTCTAAACTAGGGTCCCTTTTAGGGTCCCTTTTTGTAAGGGTGCCGTACTATATTGGGGCCTTAAAAAGGGACCCTAATTTAGAGAGCTACCCGTGTGATTTCGTTATTTCTCGGCCGTAGACTCTTACACAACATGCAATCCCAGAACCCCAGCTACCATCCGGCCCGGAAAGCCCCATCCTTCCCGGCTCTCTTTCGAATAAAATCAACATTAACTCACGTTCCATCAAGCCGCTCGCTGAGCCCTTCCGTCGAAAGATGTCGGTCAAACTTCGTCGACGGCGACCCTGCACCATGAGGACCTCGACGACCAAGCCAGAACTTTGACCAAAACTAGAAGGAGTTCACGCTCGACTGGTGATTAGATCTAGCCCGCAAGCCAAAAAGCACCCTGGCTCATAAGCCCCGCCGAAAACAGCTGAGGACCCTTGTTAAAAAAGCTTCCAAAAAGCCATAACAAAACCACCTTAAACCCAAAACCCAGATCCAGCTTTGCCAGGTCCGCTGTCCGTTCCTCAGTTCCCCTACGACCAGCGCCCGCGGCCCACGCCACCGCCCTGCATGGGAAAAGACCGCCAGTGCCTGTCAGGGTTTATGCTCACAGCCCCTTCAATGAAGCAAGAGACGTACTTGAAACCGCATTCAGGATCGTGCACGCCAGGGGCATTGGGCTGTTTGGCTAAGTTTGAGTTCCGACAGAAACCTAGAAACTGGCAACTGCAACAGGTAGAGTGGGAGCGGTTTGATCTAGAACCATGGCACCATCTCAACCGAATCAAAGCCGACCGTGAGAGGCCGGAATCACTAAGTGCACAGCCAAACTGCCGATCTCGTAGATGATGGGGTGTATGTACCGGCTGTCAGTACTGACATGACAACAGCACTGATATGATTGGTGAATAAAAAACCTTGTGATAATATGAGATCACTGTACTAATATCTTCAATAGGCCCGAAATATTGGCTCCAAGCCGCCATCCCTCGAGGATTTCAACATTCCCATCAAGCCTTAGCTCGCGAATCGAGGGTTCCTGAAAAGAGCTTCAGTGTTGAGGTGATATAGTTTCAGGGTCAAGAGTTCAGGTTAGGGCTGTACATGATGACCCCATTGACTCAATGATTTAAGGTCGAGGGTAGAAGCACGCGCGGGCTTACGACAGAAGCCGGTGGTGCAGGGCGATTCGCTTCTGCGTCTGTCTCAGACGAGCTCAAGGCTGGCAGCAACCACTGATATTCGTCCAGGTTTGCGACAAGTTCGGGAGTAAGATGAAGATGCACAGCCGCACACCCCCTAACCGCCCTGACCGACATTAGAGAGAGAGACAGCGAGAGAGAGAGAGAGAGAGAAGAAAGAGAGAGAGAGAGAGAGACAGAGGGAGAGAGACAGAGGGAGAGAGAAGAGAGAGAAGAGAGGCCGTAGTTGAGGAATGCATACCTTGAGCCTTAATTACAGGCAACATACATGTTGAGGTCTGTTCGGCTCTTTCAGAGACCCTGCGTGCGAAAGCACAACAGCAGGGTTATTTGACGTTCTCCCTTTGACAGCCCAAATATCAAGGCCATTCTAGCAAAACCCATCACCGGATTCTTGGGTGACATAGAAGCCTGAACAACTAGCACTAGTATTCCTGAGGACTGATTACTACAGGTAGCTTGTAGAGTACAAGTAAACTGCCCAACAACCGTATTCCCTTAGCCCTATTAAGGGCCTACGACGGATCGGAGCTCTCGAAGACAGGCAGTCGCAGCCGATGGGTCCTCCCAGCACTTCGCTTCCACAGGAGCAGGCTGTCCACGGAATCGGTTTAGGCTTTAGGGCTTGGAAATTCAAAAAATAAGGGTTTGGGTATTTCGGTGTGCTTATAAATAATCCGGACCCCATTATCCAGGGTCCAGATAGATGGGTCCCTCATCGACTGAAACTCCTATATGATTTCACTCCGAGAGTCGCTGGGTGGCATGTTTTATCGGACAATGTAAGGGCCAGACTTACCTATACTATTTTTGGCGGTTCTTTCTTATATAAGTCATAGTATAATGGGCCCCAGAACCCTATTCTAATTATTAAGGCCCCTATATTCCTGCGTGTCGAGGCTTTAGTCCTAGCAGGGTCTGGGTTGCTCAGGGCGCAGGGAAAGTCTGAATGCGGGTCTCACGAGACAGCTTCCCGAAAAGATTGCGTGGGTGGTTGTCAAAATTAGGGTCCCTTTTTGGGTATCCTAAATATTAGGTGCCGTATTATATTACAAAAGAGACCATAATTTTGACAACCACCCGCGTGTCAAGAATGCCTACTTTGGGCGTTTGCTCTACTTGGTGTCCCAGGTTGAAAGGGCTCCGGGGTAAAAAATTAAAGACGAAACCATCCCGTCCTATATCCCAAAAACCCTAAACCGTCCCTCATCAAGCCGTGCCAGCCTCGAGCGAGTGTGCGAGTCGAAGCCGTGAGGGCGTATTCCTTTGATTCGGGCCCCGGCTCTCTTTGCAAATACAGGGCTTCACCGCATTGGGGCCGGCTTCATCTTTCAGAGACTCCCAAACTCCTGAATTGAGGAATCTACCTGGAGCCGTAATAAGGATCCGTAAGACCTTAGTTACGGTTTTTGTTGGAGTCTCGGGGTGGATGTTCCTAAGCCCCCCCACGCCGCAGAAAGGGTTTAGGCATCTTCTGTCTCACAGGATTTCAACAGTTTTTGTTGGTCTTCCTCGCTCGGGCATTCGAAGTGACATCTCACTCCTGATCCCAGAATATGCCTAACTACCACGGCCTATGTACACTTGGCATTAGCCTTAACCTACACACACACACATATATATATATATATATGTGCACATACATACACACAGTTGATAAATCGACTTTATGGGGCTCAGCAATGGCAGCCACGTTCGGAGCTAAGAGTAAAGCCTCAAGCATGTATAAACCCCATCCTAAGCATTAGCTTGGCTTCCCACAACAATCCCCAAACACTGAACCCTAAACTCAAAAGCCTGCATGCTGGGAGGATTCGAACTTCCACAGAGGTGTGCAGGACCTTCTCTCCCGAGCACGAGAGGCTGGTTCAAGGATTGCACCCACAGTACAGGGGCCTGGAAGGGGCCTGGACGTTAGCAACGATATCCCCTTAGAGCCCGTGTTTTAATCATACCGTTGTAGTGAAACCCCGAAACGTATTGTAATGACTGGAGCCCTATACTACATGAACATGCAAGTAGTTGAGGTTGCAGGCCTTCCGATCTGGGGGTACTGCAATAGCAGAGGCATGCGGTCAATCTAAGCACCAGGTCACTCCTACCCACAAACCCGATTCCAGTCATCTAACGCTGCATTCTGGGCTTTTTTAGCTAAAGCTTCCGAACTTGCGCGCTTCGCCGCCAAGTTTTGGGAATGTAGCGTAGGTCGTGTCGTGTGGAAGGTGCAGAGTGGGCAGCAGCTTGTAGTGGCAGGGCTGCATGTTACAAGGAATGAGAACGGTAGAACCTGATCTGTGCACGTCGAACATTTGCGTCTTCCGGTTTTCAGAGACCCACCTGAAACCCTCAAAATCGAATTCTCGTTGACTCCGAAGGCTTTGGCGGCTGCAAAATCTTCTCAGGCGCGCACAACATCCTTGCCAAGGTATGGAGGTTCCATACGAGTTTGTGCAGAAGGTTTCCACAGGGGTTCTAGGACCTAGGGATATTGCGGTTGAGGGCTGCATAGCCTAATCCAGCCATTCTTGTGAGCTTCAGACTTAGGTCTTGGTTCCAATAGTCGCAGAAGTAAAGCATACACACCGAAAGAGTGGCGTTTCGTATACTTGTTTATGGATACGATGGGCAATGCCATTAACATGTATACATAGTCGCTGTGCAGACATATTTAAGCATGTAGGTTTGGATTTTTTGTGTTGAAATGGGCATCTGTTACCATGTAGGCATGCATGAAAGCATCGCATGTAATTGTGCATTGTGTATGTATGGCAGAGCACGTCTGCGAGCTCAGACGCAGCATGACTTTCTATGTGCACTCACACCTGAAAGATGCAATTAAGTACAATACAGTAATATAGTTTTCCCGCACAGAGAGAGAGAGAGAGAGACTTCTGTCTGTAGCATCGACAACTCAAGGCTACCTCCGAACCCTTATCGTACCCTCATAGAACCTTTCAATTGTTCCCTTTGACGGAACCCTTATAGTCCCCTCAAATGGCCCCCGAACCCTTATAGCACCAACCTTTCTATAGTTCCCTTGGACGGAACCCTTATAGTACCCTTAAAGGAGCTTTTTTGGACCCTCAAAGAACCTTCGTTCCCTTTGACGGAACCCTTCTAGTATCCTTAAAGGAGCTTTTTTGGACCCTGAAAGAACCTTCGTTCCCTTTGGCGGAACCCTTCTAGTATCCTTAAAGGAGCCTTTTTTGGACCCTCATAGAACCTGTTGTTCCTTTTGACGGAACCCTTCTAGTACCCTTAAAGGAGCCTTTTTTGGACCCTCCTAGAACCTGTTGTTCCCTTTGACGGAACCCTTCCAGTGTCCTTAAAGGAGCCTTTTTTGGACCCTCCTAGAACCTATTGTTCCTTTTGACGGAACCCTTCTAGTATCCTTAAAGGAGCCTTTTTTGGACCCTCAAAGAACCTTTCTGTACCCCAGCGCAGGCTGCTCAGGCCGGCAGCTTCCAGACGCCTACGGCTCTCAAGCGCTCGCCGCTGCGTGGGCTGGGTGGCTCTTGCAGCTTTATAGAGTTTTTATTGGTTTACGTTATAATGGTTGAGGGTCCTGGAGACTTGGGAAACTTTCATGGTTTAGGATTTTATAGGGGCTTCAAGTTTACGGTTCGAGAGTGTCGGGTGTCTTGCATGGGTTTAGGATATCTACAGGGTCTTGCGCTCAGCTTTATACGGGATTCTTATGACGAAAGTCAAGGTTCTGGGCCGAGTCTAACCTCCAGACTAGGGCTTTAGGGCTTGGGTTTAGGGCTTTAGGGCGTAATGGGTTTAGGGCTTTAGGGCTTAAGGGTTTAAGGGTTTAGGGCTTTAGGGCTTCACGGGTTTAGGGTTTAGGCTTCCAGGGTTTGGGCTCCAGGGTTTAGGGACTTGGGCTTTCAGGTTGAGGGTTGAGGGGCTGTAACGTCAAACTCGCGCTTGCGCCCCAACACCCAATGCCAGAAGCACTAACCCGTGAGATTTGAAACCCCCAAGTCCAGAACTTGAACTCTGTTTCGGAAGCAAGGATCCTTGAGGAACTCTGAAATTCGGAAGGTTTTCGATTCAAGAGCCTTACACAGAACCCTGGACGACCCCTTGCTGGCTTAGAACCTTCAAAACCCCTAAACCCTAAACCCTAAAACCTCTTCGAGGTGGCTCGCCCTCCATTGGCTGGCAGCCGCCGTCACCGGAGCCTGCGGTCGACGTGCCGGGGTTAGCTTTGTTAAAAGGTTTGTTTTCAGGGTTTGGGAGTTCAGGATTTCGGGCCTAAGCTTGTTAGCTTGTTCTGGGTGTGGGATGGTTTCTATCTGTAGGTCGTGTAGATGCTGTGGTTGAGGAGACGGAAGCTTCCAGTTTGAGTGAAGGCCACATAAGTCGCAGGGGGCCGAAGGGTTGAGGAGCTTCGACTCGGGATGCGTTGAACTGCTCCCTCGCAGCGTGTAGTAGCTGTAGCTGTGGGCAAAACTACTTCAATAGAGTTGCTTGGAGTTAAGGAGCTTGAACACAGTCCCGGATCTGAAACGGTTAAATCTTGACGATGACATGCAGGCTGGAGCTTACAGTTATTTGTGTCAGGCATGCAGTGTTCAGGGTATGGTACCAAGCGCTGACTCCAGCAGGTGTTCTGGGTGTCGAAGAGTGTTTAATCGCAGCCGTGCCTGTTTAGCTATATCGTGTTGTTCTATGTTGCCTGTTGTCTTAGCGTCGCACTCAGGCTATACTCATCATGCTATGCACAGTCTAGAGTGTAGCAGGTCTTAGCGTCACCTCGGGTAAGGCTTGCGTGAAACTTTCACGACCTGGTTGCTTGACTACCCACGAAAACCCTACGTTCCGAATAGATTCTATTACTTGAACCCTGAATCCCGGAACCCTGGATCCGCCTTTACCAGGGCAAGCGATTACTCCCCCGGGTTCCATGAGGGTCCAAGCCTCTCTCATAGGTTTTAATGTTTAGGGTTGAGGGTGTCCCAAATTTTGTTCCGGGGACTAAAGCCCAACTTTGTTTGGTTGACTTTGGGATAGTCGCTTGTCGCAGGTGCAGCGGCCCTCTCCACAGCGCCTCGGCTTGGGGTTCCTTTCAGGCTTTGTGGTTGGGGGGCTTAGGATGGTAGACTCCTTAATCGGGATGTGGGGTTTAGTTACGGGTTGAGGACAAGCGACGAGAACTGACAGGTTTGCTTTGCGGGGTTTGATGCAAACATCCACGGTCTGAAGAAAGGCATGGAAAGGCTGAACAATGCAACGAAGTCGAAACCTCAAACCAACAGATTTTGTTTGATGTGGCCCTAAACCCTACACCCTAAACCCAGCCGATGGTCAAAACTTTTGACAAGAGGTGGCCACACCAGCTACTGATCCTCGCAGTAGTCCCGTACATAAACCCAAACCCTGTATGCCCTGACTCTTGGTCAGTTTCTGAAATCGCGTTGCGCTGCCCAAGGCCGCATCCCAGCCCGTCACCCAGCGCGGCACAGCCTTCCACGGCTTCGAGAGCACCGGTGCAGGCGAATTCCCTTCATGTAACAGCACATGACTGATACTAGGGCTTTTATTTGGGCACGCCTGAATGTATGCTTGGCCCTGCCGGGCTCCAGGGTATGAACATATGTACCCTCATTATGTATCCATGCATACATGCATACATGCATACATGCATACATGCATACATGCATACATACATACATACATACATACGTACAGCGCAATTGTATGTTGTCAAGATTGATGTGTTTTTGCCCGATGGAAGCTTGCAGTTTGATCTCGATGCCTCCATAACTCTGCTCTTTACAATGGTAGTTTGTAGCCTGCCCTTTCTCTTCTTTGGGAGGGAAACTGGCATCGTTGGAGTTTGAGGATGGAAGCTTAAAAAGGAGCCTAGATAACTACCAACACTACTTAGGGGATTCCTTCTTATACACATGAGTTTAATTATCCCGGCAAGCCATATTCTAATTATTAAGGCCCCTTTGTTTATATATACCCTGATAGAACCCTTAGAGTAGTCCAGCCCTATTCTATTATTAAGGCCCCTGTATTACGCTCAGCGGCTTCCCAGCAGGGATCTCGAGCTCTTGACAGATTATCCAAGCGCAAAGAAACCCTAAAGGGGTTTGGGGTTTAGGGTTTAGGGAACCCTGAACCCCCAAAACCTATATCCTGAAGACGAAACCGTCCATCTTCACCCATTTGAGACCCTGGAAACTTAACAGTCCTCGGTTGTAACCCTAGCTGCTAAGAATGTACTTGATTATAGCCTTCGTCTGCGTCTCTCCTTTGCAGTTCACTCTTACGGTAGAGTCTAGGGTTTGTTAGTTGGTCTTAAGATGCTTAAGGTTTCATCCTCACTGCTCGAGGGTTTGAGATTGTCTGGGGACGGGGGGGTTCAGGTCTGTTTGGAGCGTATTACCCCGTGGCTCAGTTTGGGTCCCAGATGTCCCAGCCAGGCTACTGGTCACCGGCTCCAGATGTGGTGTACGCCCGAGGACGCGGCATACGTCCGACCACAGTTTCAGGGGCTGTGCATAGGTGCTAGGGTTTGCAGTGAAAGGAGGGGCACTGGAGGTGGAAATCCTCAACGTAACTGCCGCAAAAGCTGCGCGTGCAATCTGTCAGTGGGCTAGACGGATGACAAAGGTGTCGGGCGCACGTTCCCTCTCTTGATGTCTCATCGGGACGCCCATCATCAACACAGAAGCGTTATCCTGAGTGACGGGATATTCGGCAAAAGTATTCGTTTGGCTTTTAAGACGGCATTCGCAGAAACTGCAGAACCTAACATCGACGTCCGGTCCAGCAGAGATGAAATGAACCGAAACGCCGAACCCTACATGATAAACTATGCGTGCGGGGTTTTGCAGCTGTGACTACACGTAATGAAGCGACGAGAGTGGCTGAGCATGGCCATGACGACAATGGTGCAGTGCTGCTGAGGGTTCAGGGTTTTTTGGTTTTGGACGGTTTAGTGTTATAGGGTTTAGGGTTTAGGGTTCAGGGTTTTTGGTTTTGGACGGTTTAGGGTTACAGGCTTTAGGGTTTAGGGTTCAGGGTTTTTTGGTTTTGGACGACTGTTATTATGGACCTTTGACCCTTACTCGGTTCTCGACTCCTGCAGAAGACTACGACAGCCAAAATAGATCATGCAACAGCCAGAAAACTGTTTCAAAAAGCTCTACAACCCCTACAAAGACCACATCAAAAACCCGTATTTGACGTAGGGGCCTACACGATTTCCAATACCATGTTGCGGGTTCCTTTCTATAATTATAGTGTAATGGACCCCAAACCCTATTCTAAGTAGCAAGGCCCCTAAACCCTAAACCCTAAACCCTAAACCCATTATGGGTTCTCTATGTGTTCCAGGCCTCCACGGTCACGGACATCACTTTGGCTTCCCCGGAGCTCCAGAGGCACCTCATAGCTGGGGCTTATAGGGCTATCCGTATACCTAAAGGCTAAGCCCCGAGGGGTGAAACGTACATGTATATATATATAGAGAGATGTATATATTTAGATTTACGTTATAACCAGGAGTTGGAGTTTCCGTCATTTGTCTTTCGACTTGTGCTTCTCAGTCCGAGCATGTTGGGTCAAAGAGCCCACGGCCGCCATGCGGCCACAGGGCATGTGAGTGTTTAGGGTTTAGGGTTTAGGGTTTAGGGTTTAGTGAGTGTCGCACTGCAGGTGTTCGGAAAGTGTGGGGACTTCGCCAGCGCAGGCAAGGGAGGGGGGAGGGGGTTTTGCTTGACTCCGGAAACCATAGTGAGGGCGTTCAATCATGTTATCCATCGCTTGTGTTCCGTGTCCTTAGCCTGCTGCTTTGTGTCTAAATTCCGGTCCTCAATTACCGAGGTTCTCTCAACCCACAACAGGCCCTGCAGTGACTCAGCATGCTTTCGAGGTACTTCGTCCCGTTGCTATGCGGCGGAAAGCCCAATTAGCTCCTTAATCCTCAACCTTCGCATGATACCTCAATCGTGATGTGGAAAGCACGGCCTCAAAACGCAAATGGTGGAAACCACAGAAGATGTGTTGGAAAGCAAGACTTGTTACGACTGTTCGCCTGAAAGTTGTGTTGTAAGACATGTTGACTGAGCACCCGAAGAGCCTGGTGTTAATGTCAGACAGATTGTCGCACACCACAGAAACTCCTTGCCGCAAACACACACACACACACACAATCACACACATATATATATATATACACATACATTTATACATACATATGCATATGCATATGCATATACATATACATATACATATACATATACATTTACATATACATATACATATATAATTACATACAAACATACATACATACATACATACATAGATACATACATACATACATACATACATACATACATACATACATACGTACATACATACATACATATACAGACGTGCATGTACACATACATGCATGCATACATACACTACATACACTACATGTGCATGTCCATATACGTATGCACATCCATCCCAAAGCTCTCAGCCTAAGCCCCTCAGCGGTCTCCGGTCCCTCGTGAAGTAGGTTTCTGACCGTACAGAGCCACAAGCTCAGCAACACATAGTTTAGGGTTTTCAGGATTGAACATTATCATCTAGTTTGGTCTCAGAGTTCAGAACTTCTATAGTGTTCTCATCTATATACTGTTTCGGGTTTTAAGATTTCGCGAAACTGGTCTGAGAGCCGCCAGGGGCAGTGGCAGCTGCCCATGCGTATTGCCCGGATCCCAAAAATCTCCGGCACACGGGATATCGAAGGTTCGTGGCTTGGGATTGAGTATCCCATCATAAATCCACCGTTCCTCAAAACCTAGCACAGAAACGTGGGCTTCAGTGATTTGTTGCTTTCGAGGCTTTTGGGTTAAGGGTGTATACCGGCGATAGCACAAGTCCTGATGCTAAATGGGGTACCGGGCCTCATCGTCAAATTGCAGGAGATCCTAATACCTGCGCTCGGAACACTCACCCTACTTCAGACTCAAGTTGCCTTAATCTCGAGTCCTAGAAGGGATTTACAGGCTTTTCACGATCAGTGTCTTCGTGCAAGAGGTGGTGATACTTGAGTCACGGAAGGCCAACTCGTCCATGAACTTCTCGCAGGGTTTGGGAGGACATTTTGAAAGTGGCACTGCTTGCTCCTTTACACACTTGTAAAGATTCCTTGATGTTGATTGCCCTCCTTGAGACGAATGTTGAACTCGAAAACGGTCCCCGGGGGGACTACTTCGCTTTCGAACGAAAAAATTATGATAAACTCCAAAACCCTAAACCCTAAACCTACTATTTGCCGACCCAGGAGCCGATTTGTGGCATTGTGACGCCTTTGCAGCCTGACAAGGAGTAGTTTCTGCTTTACGGCGTCCTTCGTATCCTGGGCTCCCAAATCCTAAACCCCTGAACTGGTAGATCATGATCTTCAGAAGTTTGGGTTTACCGGATGTCCCTAACTACCTGTTGGGTTTTTCTGCAGTAGAATCAGCTAGAGGCAGCTCGAGTGCTTGTTGATGGTGTGTTTTGCCGGAATGTGTGATGCTTCATAACCAATAACATGGCCTGAGTTAAGAGTCTTTTTTTGCGAGTACGGTCGCCCTTACACCTTACATTCCCAATAATACCCTAAGCCTAAACCCTAACCCCAGCCGAGAGCGAAGATGTCTGGCTGCTTGTACAGTACAAGTCTCGAGGAAAACGCATGGGAGGCCCGTCTCTTTGCGCAGGTTTTAGGGTTTAGAGGGTTCAGGGTTTCGAGGGTCAGGGTTGTAGGGTTTAGGGTTATCTGTCCTTCTTTCCTGGCGTGACGTTGCAAGCCAGTTGCAAGAGGGTTATGGAAGGCATGATTCTCCCTGCCTTAGGGTTGCTTAGGGTATTTGGGTGTGATTTGGGGCTTTACGGTTTGATATCCCTCGCTCGACAAATTTGGTTGGCAGGGTTGCAGCATACTGTTTTCTATCAGCAGACAGTCGCTTTTCAGGGTGTAGGGCTTTGGAAACTAAGGCGGCTCCAGTATGCAACCCCCCCCGGGATTTGCATTTTGACATGTAATCTATATACATATATATATATATATATAATTTTGTTCTTTTATTTACTTATCTATGTATTTATTTATATTGACCGTGTCGGATACTATAGGATACTTGAACGTAGAGGAGCTCTTGGCTCTGACAGGTAGACCTGAGTTTGGCTGGTGAAGCGCTGCTAGGAGTCTTGGAGCTGTCAAATGTCAAAATCGCGCCAAGGCCGGTTCAGGTGTAAAAAATCAGAGGTTTAGGGGCTACCTTAAGAACCCCAAACCCACTTTTTTTGTAGGTTCTTATTATAAACCCTAATATGGGATTCATAGGGACCCTACAAAAAAGTAGGTTTTGGGTTCTTAAGGTAAGTCCTGAACCTACTAACCCCCGAACAGGCCGCAAGGTTTAGGCCATGAGCCCTAAATCCTTACGCCCTCGAGTTGAAGCCCTGCCCAACAGGGTTTCGGGGTCCATACTACTCGTTTTGGGGACCATCAAAAGAGTACGATTGTCGGGTTTTGTGGTATGTAACTCTTTATAGTTATGTAGGGACCACAAGGGAAAGCAGACTTCTGTAGTCAATCCCAACAAGATGTCTAGCTTCCCCAGCTGGGCCTCCCTGCATGCACACGTCTGGGGGCCGCTGACGGCCTCGCAGCCACTCGCTCGAGGATGTTCGCTGGGGGCTTCTAGACCCTGGGCACTCCCACCATGGGTTTAGGGTTGAGGGTTTAGGGTTAGGGCCATGAGAGGTCAGTTTATGACGACGCTCTTCATGTGTTTGCAGTGATTCCACTACTTTGTGGCGTTGGCGCAACATCATCGCCATCATCAGCTCTAATTTCGTTAGTCGCCGGTACAAATTGGGTTTAGGCTTCATAGTGAACCCCAGAAAGTTGGAACCTGGCTTAAGGATGGTTCGCGCTAGGATTCCTTATATTTCACCTTTAAAAACTTGAGGAAACCTCAAACCCCAAAACCGTGGCTTCTTCTTTAGTTCTTTAGTCGGTCTCGGCGTTCTAAGGCGCTTGACAACCAAAGACCAAAGCCCAAATTCTAAGCCCTGAACCCTCAACCGGCAAACACAACACCCCTTAGAGCTTCAGGGTTGAGGGTTTGGGTTTCGGGTTCAGGATTTAGGTTTTAGGGTTTAGGGTTCAGGATTTAGGATTTAGGGTTCAAGGCTTCAGGGTTGAGGAACTGAGTTCTTACGGTTTTGGAAGGACATAGGGCCCTAAATCGTATTTTGCGGCTTTAGAATGAGATAGGGCCCTGAATAGTTGCAAATTAGATTCCTGTGTTCGGGGATGAGGTGAGTGCTAGGATCCCTTATGCCCTTCCTTAAGGGCATGGGGATATATGGGGATATAATGTTCCAACTTTATGGGTTCTCATTAGGTCAGCAGGATTTGGTGGTACGTTTGATTTATGCTTGTGGCATCTGGAGTTCTGGGCATCAAATAGGGAGACTCGGGTAGACCTCGCCTATTTTGTGGAGACCTTGCCAACATTTCATGCGACTTGGTGCTTTGCACTGCGGCGAAACCCTCGCAAACACCCCGAGTTTTAGAAAGCTTACGCCATTTTCTGGCGAGCAGCTCCGCAGCAGAGCTGCGATGACCCTGCAACTGGCCAACGATCTCTGCACTCCCAAATAGTTGCAGTTGCAACGGTGTGGTTGTGATTATTCTGACAAGTATTCTAAGCAATGCCTTCGCAAATGAACCCTAAATCGTAAACCCTGATACGATATCACTTGAAGTCGGAGTTTTAAGACGGCTCGTTCTGCATCGTGTAGGTTTCGTTCGGGAATGTGGGGCTGTGAGCTGCAGGTTTAAACTGAGGCCCTTAATTTAGGGGCCTAAATAATCACCTACACTATTTTGGGGGTTCCTTATTGTATTGATAGCAGAAGGGGCCCCAAAACCCTTTTCTGATTATTTAAGGACTTTACACTAAGCCTAAACCTGAGTTGGAGCTTGAGGCTGAGAGGTTGGGCCGGGGTGAAAGAGATCAGAAATGATTAGAATGGATTCTTTTTTTGGTAGGGATGAGGATTTCAGGGTTTAGGGATCTGCGTTTAGGGCTTTTCGGAATTAGGATTTCAGTGATTGGGGCCCTCTTGAGTCTGTGACTCCTCCAGGCCCCTAGCTATGCATCTTAAACCCGTTTTCATCCCTGGAGGCTCTAGAGCCCCGGATCCCAGTGACTTAGGTACCATCGACGGCTCCTGCACTCCAAGACGTCACATTCTTTCAATCTGAGTCCCCCAACTACGCTACGTCTTTGATTTTGTTGCAGAAGCAAACAGAGTATCCATATTCATTCTTGAGAAGACCTGGCCAGTCTAGGAGAACCCAAGCCCTCATTCTAGATCCGCATGCACCCAAACCTTCGCCGTCGGCTCAATTCTTCATCCCTGCAACGGGCCCTCAGTGTTTGGAATTCAACTGCCGGGTCGGGGACCCCTGAAACTGCTTGACCACGGTGTCGGAAGTAGGGTTTGGAGTTTAGGGTTTTGGGTTTTGGGAACTGTTCTTTCGGACGATGCGTTCCTTCGCTTCACCTCCTAGAATCACAGTGGGCTGAGAACTGGTCTGCTCCTGTGAGTTTTTCGGGCATGAGGCTTTCGCATGGGGCTTTTTAACCTATGCGAAGAGTCTCTAGCCGGACCGAAGACTGTCTTTGCCCGTAGCAGCACAGCCATCCACATCCGCTCCCTTCACCGCGCCTTCAAAACGCGACATTCTTCAGAAGCCTGGAAAGACTACAACAAGTGGTGATATCAGCTGACCTAGGAGCCTGTCTACATATCCAGTCGCTTCGTGACTTTCGGAGTTTGTAAACTTGAAGCCACGTTAAGTACGAGAAATGCAAGTAGCTGGCCACGTTTCCGAACATTAAGGAAACCGATCGTTTGGATTCCGGTTTCGGGGTTTGCAGGCTTTAGGGTTCTACTGAAACCCGAAGTGATGCTGCTTGGAGATGGGTTTCGTCAGAGATCCTGATTCTGCAAACCCTAGCAATCCGAAGGTCCAAATCAATGCTTGGGGCTGTGGTTTAGGGTCATGACATTGATTGCGGTCATTTATTGTTTGGGGGCTTGGGCTGCAACCGGAACCAAAGCAGCAGATTCTCCAGGACCTGTGTTGTAACCCTGTACCCCCATGCTAGACCCTGAAGTCTAAAGCCTTAGAAGCGCCCGCTCAAACATTATAGTAAGTAAGCCTTAAAAGCTTCCCTAAAGTATAGAAGCCAAAAACGCCTTCTACGCTCCCTCGCCCCTAACCCCTAAGCCCCTGTCGACTCTGATACTGGCGATCAGCCAAAGGTCGCTGTGCGACGGCACGCCACAAGATGGCGTCGCCACGAGGGACTGCGGCGGAGGGAAGCAGCTGGGTCCAAAGGTCTCTCTAAGGGTTTCAACACCTTAAGGTCTCAGTGCTTTAGATTAGAGTTCCGGGCCTTTGAGTTTGAGTGTTCAGGGTTGAGGGGGTTCTTGGTCTATAGGATTCTTACGTGATGGCTGTTGTGACGGCAGTGGTGGTGGAAGCGCTGGTGATGGTGGTGGGAGAGGGTCAATTCCCAACAATGCGTGATGGCACGCCGCCATGGCTAGGACGTTTACTGGGTTGACAAGCACTCTGCTGTTCGTTGACACAGTGGTGATGCTTCGACTGTATGGGGAATCACACAGAGAAAGCTTTTGTCCATTTTAAAGATGTTCAAGCCTCACACCCACCCTAACACCCACCCTAACGGCTCAGGTACGCCGACGCATCCCTTGCTGGAGGAATCCGGCCGCTGTCTTGAGGTTGATTGGCATGGGCTGCAAAGTAGCCTCGAGTCAAATGCGGTGCAGGTTCTATGGGGGCCTTAATCATTGCCTGGCCTACGTAGCCTATACAATATAGTATAACATACCCCAAACACCATTCCTAAGTATTAAGGCCCCTGTATTATGCATGCCTATGGGCGTAGTTCCGTTCAACACTTGACTTGCTTTTCCCCAGAGTCTGAACTGTAGAAAGAAGATGTTGGGGTTTCCGAAGTTACGGGACCCTAAAATAGGATCCTAAACAGTAGGATCCGTAGTATGAGGACCCGAAAATAAGGTACCCTAAAAAGCTCAGAAGAATCGCGATACCCTGAAATTCTTCCCTCCACCCTAAATATTGGCGAGGCAGCACCGGGTTCTGATGGAGGCACACGGAGATCTCTTGGCTTCTTCGGGCTGAGCGCTCTAGGATGCTGTAGTGGTCTTTAGGGTTTAGGGTTTAGGATCATAGTGACGTAGTACGTATATACATTACAGATCATATACACACAT